AACAAATCACCATCACTTCTAAGTGATTTGTCCATGGGAATTTCTGCACATCTAATCCTGTTACTGGACGTATTTTTCTAAGCTCCAGGTGCCCATTAGCATAATGCTAGGACACACTTCTTTTTAGTTGTCTTTTATGTGTGTATTTATGATTTCCACACTGTTAAGACTTATTTTATTAGTCTTGTGTAGAGGGCTTACCTATAACTACACCAGTATTTGTCATTGTGAGGCCATAACTTCCTCCCAAATAATAAATTTAAGTCTTAGCTTCCTTCTCTGTGAGACTAATCAAAACTTAAATTTTTGTTTAAAAAAACTTTTTATAATGTTTGTTTATTTTTGAGAAAGAGACAGAGTGCAAGCAGGGGAGGGGCAGAGAGAGAAGGAGACACAGGATCTGAAGCAGGCTTAAGGCTCTGAGCTGTCAGCACAGAGCCCAATGCGGGGCTCGAACCCACGGACCGTGAGATCATGACCTGAGCTGAAGTCAGATGCTGAACTGACTGAGCCACCCAGGCTCCCCCCAAAAGATGTTTGATGTAAGGATATGGATATAAATAACCTGCTTCCTAAGTGCCATGCATTGTTTCAATGCTATAGAAATGCTCATTAATCTACTCCCCAAAACAAATCTGTGAAGTGGATAGTGTTATTTTCATTTTAGAGAAGAGAAGCCTGAGGCACAGAGGGGTTAATAACGTGCCCAGGCTGACAAGGGGCAGAGCAATGCGGGCACCTTCGCTCCTGAATCTGTCCTCCTAATCTTCATGCTGCTTTCTGTCGTTGTGCTCTCTTGCTGCTCGCTGTTGGGAAGACGTAGTGCAGAAACACCTAAGTGGGCACACATATGAGGATCTCAGGACCTGTTAGCCACACGAGCCAGGGGTCTCTTTTCTAAGTATCAGGAACCAGCATCCTTCCCTTTTGGTCTGGTCCTGAGCCAGCGTGCTGACACCAGGATCCCCTCCGCCCCCACCTCCAGGAGTATGGATTCCTGGTGAGTTTCTCCATTTCTGAGAATGTTCATTGCTTCCTTGGCTCTAAAACAGAGAGTGGAGGAATGCCATGTCGTTAACAGCACACAAAAGTGCTGCTTTAATCCTTTTGTTTAATTTGTTCGTTGTTAGTTATGACTCACAAATTTGTAATAAAACTTGAGATGATGATACTTTCTGAATAAATATATTGATATTTATTGTAAGTACCTATCTTATAGCAATGATCTGATTGTGATGTTCTGAGTGAATTTCATATATTGAGTTCCAAAGGCTCTTAAATTTAATTAATGTTTCATTTCATATGAATTAAAATTTGCTAAACAAAATTGTTTATTTTTTTAAATACCTTAAAGATGCTAGTCCTTACAGCTTTTCTGAAGCAAAACTTGTTCTGAACTGTGTCCTCCAAATGACAGATGGTACAGTAAATGGTAAAGGTGAAAGAAAATTTGGAGCAAGTTTGAGGGAGAGGTCACATCTTTTTTATTTTAGTGCTTATGGAGTAAAAAGAGTAAACACAAAGTTCCCTTTTCTCAGAGTTTCACTAAGTATGGAAGTGATTTAAATGAACACTCATGGGCTTATTCTAATATGCCTTAGAGAAAATGCTTGTATTTGAACTCATACTTTTAATATAAAATTTTGATTTTAAATTCATTTGCAAGGGAAAACCATGGATTTTAGAAAATACTTAAAGGCATGTAGGATATCCCAATGCCACCAAAATCTGATGGTGCACTTGCTGAAAGTTGACAAAGGAAACTGAATGGTGTGACAGTTATTTTTCCATCCTAATGCTACATGTGACAAGGACATCTCCAGGTGTAGTGGCAAACCAAAGTGTGTGTGTGTGTGTGTGTGTGTGTTTGTGTGTGTGTGCACGTGCATGCATGCATGTGAGTGCATAGTATAAGAATTCTGATCATGGATGCCCAGAGGTTGTATAACATGTTTCATTGTTGTCTGCTTTCTTTCTGTTTGTTGTTAAGAGTTGAGCGTCTGCAGCCAGATCAGAGTTTCAGTTCTAAGTTCTGCCATTGATTAACTATGGGATGCTTACTCTTCATTAGATTCAGTTCTCTTGCCTATTTATCTGACACAATTCTAAACACTAATTTCTAAAACATTTTGTGAGAATTATAAATAAGTCAAATGCAAGAACTTGTCAGAGTGAGTAGCATATAGAACTTAGAACACTATGTCTTTAAATAGTTCCCTATACAGAAATAGTGCATTTAGATTCTGCTCTAGAAAAAGGCTTTATACCATTATTTTTTATAACATGTGGATGAAGAAAGTTTTTAAAAAGCAGCCTATTTTCTTTTGAGTGAATGGATCTTCCTTTCCCCATTGAAGACTTGAACTTCATCATATCTGAGAGCCCATTTCTATCATAGATTGCTAAGGCATACCTCTTGAAGATTAAAAGTTCAAAATAATTGGAATTGAAATGAATAGAAATCACAGTGTGAGCTCAAATGCAGCAGTGGCTACTATCAAAAGGCTGTTTTTATCTAAGTTTTAATTTCTCTAGTAATTAAGTTTCTCAAAAAAAATAAAGTAACCTTTTAATTTTTATCTTATTGGAATAATAGACCTTTTGCTGTGAACAATTAAGCTGATGATGTTCGTTTGTAAATTAATTGTATGATGAAGAAATGTTCAAAGGAATTTTTAGAAAGGCAGTCCAGTCTACTGTTTAGAACAGGAAGATCTGTCAGCTAATGGTGTTTTATAAGCGACTTTTTCTAAATGTATGATTATTTAGAATTAAATTTTGAGACTAAACGTTTGTAGCATCGATGCCCGAGGGATCCATGCCCCAAATTTGTGTTTCAGGGTAGATCTCATCACATTATACAGGCAAAAACAAAAGCCAGAATCAAAACCATGCACTTCTGTGGTTAATCAGCCATCAGTCCAGTTTTCTATTCTAAAGAAAAATTTTATGGTGAAAAAAGTGCTCTGTTCATCTGTTCTGTGGAAGAACCCAGAGTGAACCTACTTGAGAGGGAAATATTTCAGTAAACACTACAACTTGTCTGACAGCTAACGGATTTTAATTTTAGAATAAGACTTTACATTTACATAGTAATTTCACACTATAAAAATATGTATATATATATGCATTTCATAACTTGGAAGTTATTCAGTATTAATTACTGTAAAGCTGGGATTTTCTCTTTTCCTCCATTGAAAATAAGATGTGCTCACTATGTACTACTAAATTAAAATTTAAAAATCCTAATGGGGCCCCTGGGTGGCTCAGTTGGTTAAGCATCCATCCAACTTCGGCTTAGGTGATAAACTCGTGTTTCATGATTTTGAGCCCCATGTCGGGCTCTTTGATGACAGCTCAGAGCCTGGAGTCTGCTTTGGATTCTGTGTCGTCTTCTCTCTCTGCCCATCCCCTGTTCACACGCTGTCTCTCTCCCTTTCGAAATAAATAAACATTATTTTTAATCCTAAAAAGAAATACCTGAGGTGTGGGTATTTGTCATGATATTTACCAGTATGACAACAATAAATGTTACATATTTCATTAAATAGGATTCATTAAAATTTTATTAAAATAGGATTTCTGTTTAATAGTATAATCCAACCACCAGCTTATGCTTTTTCTGCAAAGGGCCACACAGTAAATAGTTTAGGCTTTGTGAGTGAATAACACATGTCTGTAGCAGCTCCTCGTCTCTGTCTTTGTAGAACAAGACTGTAGGTAAACAAATGAGTTTGGCTGTATTATAACAAAACTTGAATGCAGGCCCTAAAATTTCAATTTTCTATCATTTTCACATGTAATTTATTATTATTTTTTATGCACTTTCACCTACATAAAGTTGTGAGAACTATTTTTAGCTCTCAGACCCATCAAAAGAGATGGCAGCAGGCCAGATAGGGCCCCTAACCTGATTTGCAGACCTCTAATCAGAGGCTTTGAGCCGTTATCTGTGCCTCATTGATTTGCCCTCCTTTCATTCTTAGATACTTTCACCTGCTAGGCTTCTGTGTCTTTTGTGAATCTGAAGTGTATCTTCAAGTAACTTCTTCCTGTGGATTCTAAATTATTGTATCTGGAGCAGACTGGAACAAAATCCCTTCCCTTTGCTATAGTTTAGGCCTTCAGAAGTTGAAAGAAAGCCACTCTGGCCCTCTTAGACATCTTTCTCTCTCTCTTAGTGTTTCTTAAGGCTTTTTTTTCCCAGATGCTTATGTTCAGTGGCTGATCTCCTTTGTCTACTCCTTAATTTTCTAATTATTCTTTGTAAAGTACACACACACTAGACAAAAACATCAAGTCATTGTCTGTCTAATGAAGAGCTTGAAAGAATGTTTGTTTCCCAAGATCCTTGTACTAAGCAGCGGTGAAATGTGGTTGTTATGGTTGGAGCTGTTGGTTTATTTTTGTTGGTTTTTGTTGTTGTTATTGTTGAAATACAACCTAATCCATTATAAAGACACTTTATTTATAAATGACCAGGCAACCCTGGTAATATTTCCCATGTTTACTAGTGGTTAATTAGCACATATTTTTTCAGTCCTTAATTTCTATAAGCTATGTATACTTGACAGATGTGGTTATTGAGAGAAAATAATAGTACAAAAAGAGTTCTTAAAAACAGAAAGAGACATAAACCCATTTTCTTACCTGAGAGTGGCTTCTAGTAAACCAAATAATAAAATAAATAATTAAATTAAAATAGTTCATCATCACATTCCAAACAGTTTTATTCAGTCCCTTCACTTTCCCAGCTATGCCAAAGGCACATGAATAATTCTTTTCCTGCTAGATTGGGTTCTGTTATGCCTTATCTTTCCAATGGAGGATTGAATCACTTATGATATTAAAGAAACATGATATCAGTTGCAAGTAGCACAGAATTTTTCTAGATGAAAATATATTAATTTTTACCTTAGAAAGTTCTGACCTTGTTGATATTGAAGATTGGTTTAAATTGTACCATCTTTAGAAAATAAATTGACTTTTTTTCTTAACAGGTTCTGGGTTGAATGATGGACAGTGGCATGAGGTTCGTTTCCTAGCTAAGGAAAATTTTGCTATTCTCACCATTGATGGAGATGAAGCTTCAGCAGTCCGAACTAACAGTCCTCTTCAAGTTAAAACTGGCGAGAAGTACTTTTTCGGAGGTAAGGCATCATTTTTTATTGGTTAACTAATACATTGTTAGAGTTTCACTGAAGTTTGATTATGAAGTATTTATATTTGCAGTAGACTCAGCCAATCTCAGGAAAAAGACCAAACTCTTATTCCATGAGCTAAAATGCAAGTGGCAAATTTATGCCTCTTCATGATGAAGGTATTCATATGATGTCATGACGTCACCGTATTCTTCTAGTTCAATTCAAATATTCAAACTGTAAAGCATGATTCTGAATCCGTTCATTCTCAAAATAGTATCCTCAAGAGTCAGGTTCTTGGGTCATGTATTAGTCACCCATATCACTGTGTAAATTAATTATTCCAAACCTTAGTAGCTTAAAACAACACTGTCTCATAGTTATTCTAGATCATGAATTCAGGAAGAGTCTAGCTGACTGGTTTTGACTCAAAGTCCCTCATGGGGTTAACACCCAAGCACTTATCTGAGACTGTATCATTTGAAGCCCTGACTTGGTTCGAGAGCATGTTTCCAAGAACGTGCACTCACAAGGTTGACAGCCGGTGCTGGTTGTTGTCTGGGGCACCCCGTCCTCCATGTGCTCCTGATTTTTGGGGGCTTGTCTTGTAGCGACCTCAACATTGCTGAGTAGGCTGTGAGAGGAGAGCAAGGGAGAGGAGCAGAGAGGAGGGGGAAGCCAGTAAACAAAAGAGAAAGTTTCCAAGATGGAAGCTGAAGCTTTTTATAAGCTGGTCTTAGAAGTGACATCCCGTCACTTCTGTTATACATTTGGTCCAGCCGACACTTAAGGTAAGGGGTTACATGAGGAGAAATGTAGTGAGAACATCTTAGAGGCTGCTGACCACAGGTTGCCTTATAGGAAGCTATATTTTCACACATATCTTGGTTCTTAAGCAATGAAAAAATTAGTAAAAAAGAAGATTCTCTTAAAATAGTAAATTCTTTTTTTTTAATGTTTTATTATTTATTTTTTGAGAGAGAAAGACAGACGGAGCATGAGCAGGGGAGGGTCAGAGAGAGAGGGAGACACAGAATCTGAAGCAGGCTCCAGGCTCTGAGCTGTCAGCACAGAGCCTGGTGTGGGGCTCGAACCCATGCACCATGAGATCATGACCTGAGCCAAAATCAGACGCTTAACCAACTGAGCCACCCAGGTGCTCCTTAAAACAGTAAATTCTAGTATATGGGAAGAAGTGTTGTACCATGGACCTGGAAATATTTTTTTTAATTTGAAAAATGTATTCTGACAGATTTTTTTATCATTAATGAAATATGGGGACATCTTTTTTTAAAGTGTTAGGTGTGTTGTTTAAATCAATATATCTTTCATTACCTTATTGTCTTCCTCATCCTATATCACACAATATGAGATCTAAAAACTGCATTGCTTTCTTAGAAAAGGCTTCATTAAACCTTAAAAAACTATATGTGTACGTATATCTGCCTCTGAAAATATATTTATCAGTATTTGCATTTATTTACTTAAATGCTTATATATGACTATATTTATATATTTTTCTAATTATTACAATAAGCCTATTTGAGATACAGTTATCTTATATACCTTGTACCTTGCTATATCGTCTAAGGTCTTAGAAAAATTCCTGATATATAGATGGCTAAAAAATATGAATGAATTAGTAAATTTAGGAAAAAAATCAAGGCAAGCCCTTTACTTCCTATGGTTTAAAAGAAGAAATAGAAAGGGCACCGGGGTGGCTCAGTCGTTTAAGCCTCTGACTTCAGCTCAGATCATGATCTCACAGTTTGTGAGTTCAAGCCCCATGTCAGGCTCTGTGCTGACAGCTCAGAGCCTGGAGTCTGCTTCAGATTCTGTGTCTCCCTCTCTCTCTGCCCCTAACCCAAGCACACACACACACTCTGTCTCTCTCTCTCTTAGAATAAATAAACATTAAAAATAAGAGGAAACAAAAGAGAAAAGAGAAGAGGGGAGGGGAAGGGAGGGGAGAGGAAAGGAAAGGAAAGAGAAGCCCACAGAGATTTCCTGACCTGCCCCTGTGTTGGTGGTCAGCAAGGGAACTCCAGACCTCGGACTCCTGTAGCAGGGTGTTTCTCCCTATACATCACGATATGACGATGAGTGACAAGTCAGAGACAAAATACATCATGATATGACGATGAGTGACAAGTCAGAGACAGAAAACCTGAGCTAGAGCTCTCTTTCTTGAACTTCCATGTGTTCATTGGAAATTAAAACTACATCTTTTTAAAAAGTCTCTCAATAAATATTTGATAAGTGGGTGAAAGTCTGACATGATGTTTTATGAGGGAATAAACTGGGGCTTATTGATGTGAGAAAAAGCAGCCCATAGCCCAACTGGGTTTCCTGTGAGACCATATTTAATAGGATGGTCTTTTGGCCAATAGTTTTCATTGCTGTCATAGAAAATGGATGACAGTAGTCACTTGGAAAGCTACTGAGAATCCCTACGCATCCAAATGACAGTGGAATGTCTTTGGCCATGGATGAGCATGCTGAATGCCTCAGGTCAAAACAGAGTTTTGCTGTGTTTCCATCTAAATGGGTAGCCTAAAAGCTGTAACCAACAGATTTAAGGTACAAAGTTTATGAGAGATGAGGGCTTTATAGTGTGGTGTTTACTATTCCTTTACAGATTTTGCTTTTCGAATCCAATGGTCAGAAGCATATTTCCTCCCTCTGGGGTCTTTGTTCTGCCATTGGGGAATGCTGTTAGCAATGATCATGAAGCATCTTTGGTTATATCTTCCTTAGCTCAATCCTTGGAGTATATGAGAATCACCAGAGGAACTTGATACATTTCAGAATTCTCAGCCCCCTGTACTAGAACTCAGTGCAGAATGCTGGGAGGAAAAAAAGATTTCTAAGCTTCAACTTTATCTGACACAAATGATCTTGAGGGACAGAATTATAGATCAACCTTAGCCAATTCACATGCACATTTTTCAACTTCTTCTGACAGACATCAGTCACTGAAAAGTGAGAGAAGTGAGAATTAGCTACTCGCCTATAGCTTGGCCACCGTGGAGCAGGAAAAGGAAGTCAAGGGCACATTTTGGTGCACGTCCAGACATATATTAAATGAACATTTTTATTAGCAAGCTGGAACAATGAAGTTAATACAAACTCTTCTGTAAGTTCAGTGAAGTCCTAGCTCTCAGACTTGCTCTGCCTTGAATAAAATGCTCTCTTTGGGCAGCTTTAGCAGTATTTTTGAAGCAGGATTCAGCTATACCCAGCCATTGCCAAACAATAGAAAGTCTCCTAAGTTCATGACTGGCCCAGGGTCGTTAAGTGATCCAGACTCCAGAACCATCTCCAAGGCTTCTGGTCACAGGCACACTTGTCTTAAATCATCTTCACACAGGCCATAGGTGTCTATAAAAGATGGTTTGTCAAGCTTCATAAACTTAATATCTTTAATTTCACCACTGAGATGTATTTCCTAACATTCATCTAACATTTATACTGATTAACAAAGCACTAATTTCACCAAAGAAAACACAATTTGGCATTTAGTAAATTGATTAGAGGAACAGGTAGGAGAAATCCTGAAGTAGCTACCTCTGGAATGGCTGCAGTGTTTCTGATAGAGGGCTCATGACCACCCCTGGCATGTGGCTTTTAGATTAGAATGCTGGCTGCCTCTGGATTGTAATTCAAACACTCACACGCATGTGCGCGCACGCACACACACACACACACACACACACACACCCCTTCCTATTGTGTGTGATGAAAAATTTTAAATTAGTTGTATATATTATAATGAAAACATCTTAAATATTACTGTAGTAGAAAGGCCTAAACTATGAGCTTTGAAACACACATTTGGGATTGTGGTTTCACTTAGTTGAAAGATCATTTTAATAATTTATCTTATGTCTTCATCCATCAAAAGGCTGTAGAATAACCTTTTAAACTCAGGGTCTGTCTCCAGCAGATGCTAAATGCTGACTCCCTTTCTAATTCATCTGGAGTCTTTATTTAACTCATTGAAGGACAGTCCCTTCCAAGGAAGATTTGAGATTTCAGACCACATGCTCATCTAAAACCTCTGACAAACTTCTCCACTAAACAAACCATTTTTTCCTCCTTGGTAAAACACAAATTGTTTTCCTACAAGGTGAAAGCTTTAAATAAAGACTTTCTGGCCTCATGCACTCAATTACAGACTCCTAAACATGTACACACTTTGTTTCTTTTGAAGTAAAGCCCTGGTCATGGAGCTTCTATTCTTTACCGCTGTTTCCTACCAGCATGGAGCTTTATCTCTCCATGCCTGCACCTTGCTAATCCCAGAGTATGTCTTAGTTCTCCTCTATAACACTCGTGATCAGATGTTTAAGCACCAAGAATTCTTTTGCCTTGTTCTTTCTTGGGAATAAACAGAAAAAGAAAGAGATTATACATTTGGGATGTTTCCTCAGCAGCAGTCATTTTAGTTGCTTTATTATTTTTTTCTCTACCACCCAACTGGAATTATTTTGATAACACTTCATTAATTTTAATAGTCAAAGTAAATTTATTTATTGACTGTTTACCTGGTAATAGGCTTTCAGATACAGGCCAAAGCCCATGATCATAAGAGAATAGAAGGATTTGTAAATTTCTAAATTTTCTCAAGATTGGTATTATTTTTATTATTAGTTTTATCTCGTTGCTTTCATTTGAAAGGAAAAGGAGCTGTGGGCCGATGAGAAAAGAGTTAAGAAAGTTCCAGAGCCAGTCTTGCTGGAAGGGGGTTGCTGCTCTCAAGGACTTTACTCCAAACATACTTTGATGGCTTCATTTATCTTTTCTGTAATAGAACTGGGATCTAAGCTCATTCATTTATATCCAAAGAGATTACAGAGCCCCTAACATAACCCACTTTTTATGCTAGATACCAGGACCTAAAAGAAGACCTAATGTGCACTCTCATGGAATTTACAGATTTGCTCTCACAGCAACATGTGTCTCCGCTTTATAGAGTTGTCATCTTACATTATTTGCATGTTTCTCTT